TGCGTAAAGACGCATCAGCTCGATCTGCTTTGTGAGTGAATCCGTTTGATTAATTTGAGGCAAAAACTCAGCCGGAGCTCAGATATCCGGCCGTTATTCAGCTTTCAACAGGTGAAGCTTTTTTTTTTTCCCTTTTCTTTTTCCCTTTTTTTGCCGGTTCGCTCCTCGGCTGCGTGGCTCTCTTTGGGGAAGTGGCCATCACCAACTGGGCCAGTTTTCTTCTGTATCATCCCCTAAACACGTCAAAAGTTCCTCTGTAAGGGATTCAAAGTCAGATGTTAGAAATGAAAAGAGACGGTTCAGAAATTTGCTTTTTTTAGGGAGCGGTCCCAGGTTTATTCCTCTTTTTCTAAAAATTCAGAGGAACCTCATTAGATCAGTGACCTTTAACCTGTGTGAGCTGTTAGAGAATCAAACCTGAACTCAACGTAAGCACTTTTACCTGAATTTTCTATTTAAAAAAAACAAACAAATTCAAATGGGATAACTTCATTACGAAGATGCATCAGTGAAGAATGCAGAGAGGGATGGCTCTGGGAGCAACGTTTATTTAAGAAACAGACAGTTTTTTCAGCATGTCTGATACTTAAAGTTCTTAAATACAATCTCTGGAGTTAAAATACAGCTTAAATAGTGTTTTAACACTGAATTATACCACGTGCAGGAAGGATTTCGACAGTATTTTTACTCTCTTCCTTCTATAACCTGCTCAAGTTTCATTAGATCTTTCTTAAAAAGCCTTTTTTTTTAAAAAAGAAATCATAATAGTGTCAATTTAATAACTGTTTTTTTCTTTTAAATCTCTAAAAGGATTTGACTCGCTAACCTCTGCTATGAAATACCAGAATTCCACAACTTGCCCAAATCACAAACCACTAAGAAAGCAACTAAATACTCACATTTAGGACAATTTTGCTTGAAAAAAATATATATAAGCACATTTTTTTTTACTTTTATAATGACATTTCTCCATCTGAGTTTGACATTTGTTGGACGAACAGTTGAAACGCATTCTAACACACTCTGAGTTTTTTACGATAACCTGAATATCTACATATGTTTGACTGAACGAGCGGAGGCCTCCTCCGACAGGTGTCTGCATCGTTGCATTTGCATGAGTCTCTGCAGAAAGCTGTGAGGCAAAAAGCCACCGCAGAGAAACTTCTGCAAGCATCCCTTCACTCAGCAGAGACCCGCCCGAAAAGGCCCGATAAGATCAGCATTTCTGTCTGTGACGAGCCAAAGTGGCTGAAACCGGAGGGCCAAAAGATCAGTTATATTGAAATGTAATCTTGTGTTATTGATCATTGCTAGCTGATGTTATTCTTCAGCTTTTAAGAAAAGATTTGATAATCATTTTCACATAAACAGTTGAAAAAAAATCAGATTTGAATGTTTTTGGACTGTTTATTGATGTTATTTCTAAGTAAAAGTGACTGTAACTTGCTCAGAAGATGGATTTTTGAGTGATTAGCTGTTATTCCTCAGCTTTAAAAAGAGATTTGATAATCATTTTCACACAGAAAATTGAAAAAAAAAACATATTTGAATGTATTTGGACTGTTTATTGTTATTATTTCTAAGCAAAAGTGACTGAAACTTGCTCAGGAGATGGATTTTTGAGTGATTAACTGTTGTTGTTGTTCCTCAGCTTTTATAAAAAGATTTGATAATAGTTTTTTTACATAGACAATTGAAAAAAAAATCAGATTTGAACGTTTTTGGACTGTTTATTGATGTTATTTCTAAGTAAAAGTGACTGAAACTTGTTCAGAAGATGGATTTTTCTTGTCTGTAGAGCCTAATATGTATTTATTTTAGGTGAAACAGTCGCATCTCGGATCATCAGCTTGCATTTCTGAGCTGGTTTTACAGCCTCAGACTCAGGAAACCCTTTTGTTTGCGCCTCCGTGCTGAAACGCTGTCCAGCTCGCTGTCAGAGCTTCTGCGGTTAGAGCCAAGATGTGGTATCTCGCGCTGAAATGTGTCACGTTTAATGAGCAGAAACACACCAGGACATCACAGCCTGTTAGGTTTTTTTTTTTTTTTCTTAACAAAAAAGCTGCTTCAGAATTCTGAGAAACCTCCCAATCAAACTCGAGATGAGACAAAAACACCAAACTTTTAAACTTGTTTTTGAAGCTGAGGAGTTCTGATGGTTTCTGGCTGTGTCCATAAATGTAAAGCAGAGGTTTATATATTATTTATTTCCGTACAGTCCCTGTTTACGTGTTGCAACTAAAGGGGAAAAAAGGTGTGAAACAGAGTTGGTTACGACCAAAGAAAAGGTGCAATGTCCCAAAGTTAGGATGCCTCCCCCTCTGGATACTTGTGTTAGGAAACAGGAACTGCTGTTTCATGGAAAATTCAGAGGCAGACAATATGATTCAATGACATTTTATTTACAGAGTGGGAACTCATTACTCCACCAGAGGAACTTCAGTAAAACAGAATCTGAGGCGTCCAGTTGATTGGAGTTAAATTCCACACAGAGCCAATGATCAGATTCAACCAAAACTTCTCTTAGATCCAGTCTGAGATCAGATCAGAGAAAAGAAAAGTGTAAAGAAAAAACTCATTTTGAACAGGAAGAAACCTGTGGCAGCACGTCTCAGAGTCCCTGATCCTGAACTGTCAGCGTCATCCAAAACAAAGTCACAATTTGGATCTTTTTAGACTTTAGACTCGACTTTATTTATCCCTTAGAATTGCTCTTTCAGGAAATTCTGATTCCAGTACAGCCTGCCCAAAACTGCTTGAAACTGGCTGAAAAAGGCCTGTCAGATCTAACGAGTTGCCTCACCTCCGATATTATTTGTCCTAATATTTTCATTTGAATTAAACATGCCGTCTTTGGTCTGAAAATGGAGCCGAAGAAGGCAGAAGAGGAACGCTGAGCTTTGGATCCGGAGTTTGAAAACAGTGCTGCTGGTTCCTGGTTGAATGTGTTTGTTTCTCTTTATAATGTGAACATCCAAAAAAAACGATTCACACTCTGAGCAGCGTTTTAGATCTAACAGATCTAATATTTCCTGTCGTATCTCAGCTCGGTCTTGATGGCAGATTAAAGCTAATTTCAAGTTATTTTCAACCCCTTTCAGCATCAAATTTGCATGCAGCATTGGTCTTTACACCAGAACCTAATGTTTTTTTACCCCTTTTGGATTGAAATATGGTTTCTGAGGCCCCGTTTCGGCCCCCCGGATGGTCCAGCTCACAGATAACGATAAACTACTGAGTCTTTACATTTTAGAGGCTGAAAGCTGAAGATTTCCGGCAACTGGGATCATTGCAGGCTTCAGTATTCATGTATTTTTACACCTCAGATTAGGAAGTTCTACATTTTTTCTGTCCTTAACTCATAGCGGCGTCATAAATTGGGTTCAGGGTTCGATTGTTGCATTGGTTGCATCCTTAAATTTCCAACTGGAAGAAACCATAAAGTCTCAGAGAAAGTGAATTTATTTTGGTCCTCTTAGTTTGGGAACCTGTCATGAACAATCTGATTACTGGAACGATGACTTTATTTAACCCCGAATGGCAAATAGGTGAGAATTAAGCATAGCATTCCGGTATATTTAGATTAAATAAAAATACAAATGGACTAAAACACATACCGACACGTCTGTGGTAATGAGCTGGTGTTAAGAACACTGAGGGAATAAACAGGTTTTGGTTACAGTCGGGGCTTTCTCTTGAAATACCTTAAGAGCAAATACCGAGTCTTTCTCGTGCCGATACTCGCCCTCCGGCCCAACAGGGGGCGCTAGAGCGTCTGAGGCTGATTTTCCAGCCACAAATGAGAAGCCCGGACCACTTTTAGGGTTGTCACAGCAGGAGAAAAGTTGTGCAACCAGACATGGAGGACGTGGTGGGTGGAAGTGTTGAGAAAGCTTCCTGGTGGCAGCTTGTGTAACTGGTGTGTGTGTTTTTGTTTGTGTTTGTGTGTGTAACTGGTGTGTGTGTTTGTGTTTGTGTTTGTGTGTGTAACTGGTGTGTGTGTGTGTGTGTGTAACTGGTGTGTGTGTGTGTGTTTGTGTAGTTCTCCAGCCATCAAAAACACTGGCAACACACAGAGATTCACAACCAACACTCATTCCCACCCTTTTCTGTTTCTCCAAGGTGGGAAAATGGGAAATGGAGAGGAGCTCTAACGTTTTTTTAAAAGGAAACCATGCAGACCAGAAGGCCTCCGTTAGAAGTCGAGTCTTTGGTTCGGTCTTAAATTGACAAACTTTATTTTCCTAAAATAAATGATGCTGTTTGATAACAAATAAATAAAGCAGTTAGTTGAGATGAATGCATTCCAGAACCTTTGACAGTTTAATGAGCTTTATGCTTCTTAACTCGTGTTCAGGCACTTTAAAGCCTGTTTTTAAATGATGAATTTGCCAATAAAAGTTCATTTAAGTTTGACATCTTTATCGCTACTAAGCTATAAACAGCTAAAGGAAGCATTTGGGGAAAACTTGTTGAATTTCATCCCATTAAAAAGAAATCCACAAGGGACTAAAGAATGCTTTATTCGTTTTGTTAGATAGTGAGTCTGTGACCGGATCAGATGTGGGATCCAACAGCTTTTAGCTTTCAGCTTTAAGCTTTTAGCTTTTAGCTTTTGGTTTTTAGCTTTCAGCTTTTAGCTTTTAGTTTTTCGCTTTTGGTTTTTAGCTTTCAGCTTTCAGCTTTCAGCTTTCAGCTTTTAGCTTTTAGTTTTTAGCTTTTAGCTTTCAGCTTTTCTCAGCATTCGGGGGCCCGGCGGCTCCTGGAAGTCGTTATCGTGTGTCCTCCCCCACGCAGAAACAAAGGCCTCATCAGGGTGAATCAGCAGTTTTAATTTCCAGCTAAAGATAAGGTTTTTTTTTCTTTTTTCGAGAGAGCCGTTATCAGTTCTGTGGTGCCTCCACATGCAGCTCAGAGCCTTCGATCTGTGAGCTGCATCAGAAATTAGATGTTTTTAATCTGAGCCTGCAGATCCTGCAGCTCTGGGAGCAGAAACGACCATTTAAAGGGGTTTCTGCACCATTTTTAATGGGAACTAAAGCAATAAGTGAACTATTTAACTTCAGAGTCAGAAGAAATCTTTTAAATCCCCTTTTTAAACCCACTTTGTGTCATTGGTGCTGATTTTTACTACTATTTTAAATTTATTTGATCTGTTTGATCTTGCTTTTATTCTGAAAATCCTAATTATATTATTTAATTCATTTTGTTGAATTAATTTTTTGCTTTTATACTTTGATATATTTTTCTCCATACCTGCTGTTTTTTTTAAAGTTCTTTATACATAATAATTATTAGATTGGCCTAACTGTTCAAACAGAAAGAGTGTAGTTTTAATTGATCTGAGTTCTGATTTAAAGAAGGAAAATTCCCCCAGTTCTGCAGAGTTAAGTATTAAGTATTAAAGACCTCCTCCTGCTCTCTCTTTTCAGACTCTAACTGGACGTGTTAGTGTAACACTCCACACGTTCATTCGCTGTAAATCATTTGTCCCGGAGATATTTTCTATATTTGCACAGGCTAATGAGTCGGAGACGCAAACACTCACACATCCAGTTCAGCCGGTACTCTGAGGAGTTCAATCATTTGCAAATCAAAACATGTTTTTATTTGCCAGCAGGAAGCTGGCGCAGAATCTCCCTGTAGAAAATGTGAAGAATCCAGTGGCTCTTTTCCATTAAAGATGTTTTCTGGAGCTCCTCTAAGCTTCAACTGTGAACACACGAGCCACAATTATTCACACAAAGTGGGTTTGAACCTGTTTTTTGGAGTAAATGCGTGACTTTTATCCTTTTTTTTCCTCCCACGTGCTGCCAGAAAGTATTTATTGATCATTAAGTTACGTGTCTGAACAGAAAGAAGCACAGAGTTTCTTTTATTCTTTCTGGTGAGATCTATAGATATATTAGCCAATCAGCCCACAGCCTGATGGATTCTCCAGGAAATAACGGTGTTCATTAAAGCTGGCGGGCTCCCATTTTGAGACTTGGTCAATACAAAGATAAAGAGTCAGAAATCTTCTGATCCAAAAGGGGAAACCAAACCTCAGAGAAAAGCTTTTTCGGGGAGCTGTCTCCATTTTGTGGGTTAGGTTTTGTCTGTAAGTGGCTCAGGTTTGAAGCATAGTTTAAAGTTTCATAAGCATGAAGCATCATCGACAAGCTAAAAACTTTTCCAGGTTGGTTCAATCCAGGATTTTACCTTTTTAAAGAAAAATATATATATTTCTGGTTTGGATGTTTGTCCAGTGTCAGAGTGAAATCACAGAGAATATTATTATTATTATTCAGATAAAATGATCTCCTGACACTCAAAATTAAAAAATAAAGCTCAGCCTCTTGGCTTCTGTGAAAAAAGTTTGGTGTAAAGTTGCAACAAAACTCAGCCCAGGCTGTTTTTAAGGGTCAATAACATCAAATTTGTGATCAAAAGTTTTATTTTGCTGCTCTCTGAGAAGACCTGCTCTCCCCTTTGGTTCCCCATTAAAGACACAGATGTATACAGACACACAAACACTCTTTGGGTTGGAACATATACTGCTTTTTCCTGTGAAAACCTCCCTTTTGCTGCTAGCATTGATCCTCTGAAAGGAGGATTCTCTCTCTCCGATACTCAGCCTCTCATTTGGCTGTAATTGGATTTCCAGCCTTCATTCAGAGCTTTTTTCTTCACTGGCTTTTAGCTAAATGTTTATTCGGCTCCTCAGATTGTTGGATGATCTGTTTACGCGTCCCGTGCTTTTGAGGAAAAATGTTTAAATTACTGTAGAAATGCTTGCTTATATTTGAGGGTTTTTCTGCGTCACAACCGGCTAAAAAATGAAAAAACATCAGTTTGGCTGCGTTTCTTTTCTCCATGTGTGATTGAGCCTTTTAGAGCTTTGCTCCTCATGTTTCTGAGTTAAAAAAACAAAAAACCCTGCAACCCCACACCTGCACAATTGCAACGGTGGAGGCTTTTTTTTTTCTCTCACGATGAACCCGACCACATCCTCCACTCGGTCACCGCAACGTGAGAGATGCCTCGATTCATCTTTGTGGGAAAATGCAAACAGCCTAAACGGCACCTAAACTGGCATCCTTCAGCTTTCAACAGGCAGGAGTTAGATCTGAACTAATAATGCTATTTCTGTATCTCTTACTGAGCAGGGTTCGAATAGAGAAGTGGTTTGTAATTCAAAAACACATAAATTAAGTTTTCACTTCCTTTTATGGGCCGCATGCCGTCGCCGCTCTCTCTAATTCCTGCTTTTAATTATCAGGAAGTAAGATTTAATCTGTCATTTGACATTATTCAGCATGTTGAATAAAACGTTTCCAAGTAACTGTGCTAAATATTGGTTTTAATTCTTCAAACAGCAGTTTTGGAGATTTTCTTTGGATGAAATTTTCACCTTATATGTTCAAAATGAACAGAGTTTTACTCAGATATTGTTTGGCATTAAACTTGTTACATGGATTACCTGGTATTTGTTCTTCAATTTGCTTTTCATAAGCAAGTAAACTAAAGCTGTTTTTTTTTCTTGCACAAAATTTCCCCCAAATTCAATATCAGTAGTCCCCACCATTTCATCATTTAATGTTTTTCAACAGAAGTTCGTTGAATTTAGTTTGTTTTCTTAGCGCTTGTGTCTACTTCTGAGAAGTTGGATTTTTTATGGCGTATTTATTTTGGTGAATCATGTCTTGTTTGTAAAGGCATTGGCCTTTAGTGGACAGTTACAAGATTTGGTGCGGTGTAAAGATTCATTTTGGGTAATAACAATGTTTACTTTGGGTAAAATACAAGCTGCTGTATAAACATTAAACCTGAACTTTGTTCTACGAAAGTGAGATGAGATTTAATCATTGCTGTTAAATTAGTAGTCAGATTTATCCTGACTACTAAGGATAAAGATGTTTGTTTATTCTAAAAAATGTCTGTAATATCCATTATATTTGGGAAAAGTAAAGAAACAATTAAATAAATAAATAAATAATCTGTGCATTTGACAAATCAGACTGTGGAAATGATTAGCATTAGCTGCCAGCCTAGCATAATAGGCTAGCGTTAGCTTGATAGGTAGCAGCTAAAAAAGATTAGCAATGATTAAACACAGGATGTTTTTACTGTCATGTAACATGTGGTTTTCATTTTGCTGAATCCCATGTTTGTGACTCATGTAAAACTTTTTTTTTTCTCTAGAGCTTTTGGGCTATTTTCAAGTTGTGAATACAGTAATAAAAGTGCAATTAGCTCAGTCTTCATTTATTGTGACCTTCTCAGAATAACCCAAAATAGTTGTGAGTCTAGCGCAGGTTTAAATTGTCAAATGTAAATGTTGGTTTTATAGATGGAGTTGATTGAGCTTAAATCCACATTTTAGTATTTTTATATTTCTTGTATTTCTCTTCCCTGCAGACGACCACCTGTGGTGGACCACACCCGATTGCTGTGCCCCTCTTTTTTTTGTTTATTTTTTATTTTTTGGGGAAAAAAACTTGTCTGAAACGCTCACGATGGAAGCCCGAGGAAAGTATGACTTTTCAGCAACAGTGGACGATGAGCTCAGCTTCAGGAAACATGACATATTAAAGGTTAGTGCACGCTGAGGTCTGAAAACTTTCCCTTTGTTCTTCACTACGGTTTGAAAACTCCTCTGTTTCTGCTCCTGGACAGATTATAAGTCTGGAGGAGGACTGGTGCAAGGCCGAGATGAATGGACTGGAAGGATTTGTACCCAAAAACTACATCGAGATGCAGACTCCAGGGTAAGAAACGGCAGAACTAAAGCCAAACTAAAGCCGAAATAAAGCTAAACTAAAGCCAAAATAAAGCCAGACTAAAGCCAAACTGAAACTGAACTAAAACCAAACTAAAGTCAAAATAAAGCCAAACTAAAGCCGAAATAAAGATAAACTAAAGCTGAACTAAAGCCAAACTAAAACTGAACTAAAGCCAAACTAAAACTGAACTAAAGCCGAAATAAAGCCGAAATAAAGCCGAACTAAAACTGAACTAAAGCCAAACTAAACCCAACAGTTTTCAGAGAAAACCCAACAAAGACCTGATGCAAAAGTGACTACTAGTATTTTTCTTATCTGCGTTTGGGCCTCTGTCTGTTTGGGGAGGTTTCCCACCAGGATTCTCAGAGTTTGGAGTATGTGTGTGTGTGTGTGTGTGTGTGTGTGTGTGTGTGTGTGTGTGTGTGTGAGAGTGTGTGTGTATGTGCGTGTGTGTGTGGGTCTGTCCCTGTGTGTGTGTGTGTATAACTGTGTGCGTCTGTGTGAGTGTGTGTGTGTGCGTGTGTGTGTGTGTGGGTCTGTCCCTGTGTGTGTGTGGGTCTGTCCCTGTGTGTGTGTGTGTGTGTGTGTGTGTGTGTGTGTATCAGATAAAGATGGCGTCTCTGTGCTCAGGTGGTTTCGGGAGAACGCGAGTCGCAGCGCGGCGGAGGAGTTTCTGCGCCACAAAGATCTGGGAGACTTCGTCATCCGCGGCTGCCAGAGCTCCCCGGGAGACTTCTCCATCTCTGTCAGGTAGGGGTTAGGGTTAGGGTTAGGTTGGTTAGGGTTAGGGTTCGGGCTGTGGGTGGGTTAGGGCTCCGGGTGGGTTAGGGCTGTGGATGGGTTAAGGCTATAGGTTGGTAAGGGTTAGGGGTCTGGGTGGGTTAGGGTTAGGACTGTGGGTGGGTTAGGGTTAGGGTTTTAGCTAGGTTATGGCTAGAGTTAGAGCTGTGGATGGGTTAGGGCTGTGGGTGGGTTAGGGTTAGGCCTGTAGGTGGGTTAGGGTTTTAGCTGGGTTTTGGCTAGAGTTAGAGTTGTGTATGGGTTAGGGTTATGGCAACAGATGGGTTGGGGTTAGGGCTGGGGGCCTAGGGTTAGGACTGTGGGTGGGTTAGGGTTAGGGCTGTAGGTGGGTTAGGGTTAGGGTTTTAGCTGGGTTAGGGCTGTAGGTGGGTTAGGGTTTTAGCTGGGTTATGGCTAGAGTTAGAGCGGTGGATGGGTTGGGTTTAGGCCTGTGGGTTAAGGTTAGGGTCAGAGTTAGGGTTAGAGTTGTTAGGGTTAGGGCTTTAGGTGGTTTAGGACTGTGGGTTAGGGTTAGGACTGTGGTAGAGGCAGCCTCCTGGTTTCCATATCGTCTCTTATCGGTTTCTGGGATCTGAACGTTGCTCCTCCGGCCTGAATTTGCTGAGTCATCCTTTAGCCACAGTCGGTCACATGACTCACACCTCCTCTGGGCATTTCCACAGCCGGATCCCCAAACGGTTAACTGGGGGCGGAGCCTTTATTCTGCAGATTTGGGTTAGGGTGCGTAACTGGAACTTAGTGAAGTGAATCCAAAACGAGGACTAAGAATATATTTACGAGTTTTGAGAGCACTATCGAACAAACTCGGCTCTTAAAGAAGGAAGTGAAGAATTAAATTAGAAAAGCTTCAAATGCGCTTCTGGAGGGAAGTGATATTTGGTTAAATTAGAGGAAATATATTTAATTTACAGAACAGATAAACAGATAAAGCATCT